CCATATCTAAGCCTTCTGGGTAGCTGTGGTATCCTTTTGTCTCCATAACTAGCAAAGACATATATAAAAAAGTAAAATTAATGACAGGACAGTGTGACTTCCTAAGGAAATTTCCTAATTTCCTAAGGAAACAAGGCGTATCCGCTTTCTCTGTCTATCCTCCTCTCTCTCTCTGCCTGCCAATCCCATTTCCCTGCCCCATCCATCATCTCTCACCCATTTGTCCAATTTCAATCAAACCGAGGGAAAAGTCTCATGGATATGACAGCCCTATGGGTTCAGGGAGAAAACAGATCAGCAGCTTGGAAACAGCCAAATTATTGCTCCCAGCCCTACCCCAAAAGGAACGGCTTGGCAATGTCAGCACAACCACCCACCCTTGCTGGCCACAGCCCCATGGTCAGTGCCAGCTGTACCAGGGGCTGTCCCTCACTTAAAAAAGGGAACAGGGAGTAAGGAAGGAGGGGATCCAGAGAAGTCCTGAAAGGACATGTTGGTGGTAGGCAGGACGAAAACCCTGTGAAAACTCCTCATTACAGCTCTGCTCCTCCAAGGACCTTCCACTGCCATGTTACAAGGACAACAAAGCACAGGAGACTGCTGTTTTAAGGGGATTTCTCTTCATCATCCTCACCATTCAGCGTAACACAGAATACTTTAGAAGGAGCCAGTGGCTCTGAGGGGCTGGGAGCTGACTTGCCCCTTCCCAGCTACACAAACTTCTGGTACAACCTCCCAAGAAGACATGAAGGTGTGGGGAGAGAAGTAGGACAGCAGATCAGTAGGAAACACTTCTGCCACAGAGGAAGGGGTTCAGACTAGGTAGGAATGCATGGCTATTAAACGGATCCATAACTCTGCCAATTCTGCAAACTTCCATGGCAGCCAGCAAGAGGAATATATAAAGAAAAGTAAACCTTGTTCTAAAATGGACCCTAAAAAAAACCCTCCCATTTCACATGGCACTTTCTCGAGGTAAGGAGCAAAATGCATGACACAGTCTCTAATAATCTCAAAACCACATATAAGTAACAACAATTTCTTTTTTTTTAAGGATTTGGCTCATAGTATCATTAGAACTGCAGAAACTCAAGTGCCAACAGTTACAATATCAATATTATGCAAATATTTTTTTCCTTTCAGAATGTATTAATTTTCCAATATTTATTTTAGTGTTTAACCCCTTTACTTAACACTATTTAACTAAGCTATTTTGAGCAAAATAATAAAAACAAAACAAAAAACCTTAAACTGAATGACTTGAATACTTCTTTGCCCTTACTTAATTGGAACTATAGCCCAACGCTTACGTTTCCCTCAAGCACAAATTTTATTAGAACCTAGAATTATGTGTCTCACATAATCATGTATATTAAATCACATTCCTACAGTCTAAAATTTTCAGACAGAAGTGCCTAATTCCACATAAACTCACTCCCAGATAATCACCTACCCCTGATTTAAGTGCTGAGCTAGCCTAAATCCTAGAGAAATCAATTGCAGCTGTGAGTGACCCGCATTTCTGAAAACCAGGAAACTTAGTTAAGGCTTAAAATTAGGATGGAAGTTAAAATTAACTCTCAGAAACACCAGCAGAACCAACAGCAGAAATCTCTGTTACAGGCCTAACATTACACTAGTGTTTGAGCTTTGCAGCAACTTCTCCCACAGCAGTAAAATTCAAACTTCGTATATAATCAATAGCCGAGCATACTCTGAAACTTCAGCGAATAAAAATCTGAGTCACACAAAGGGAAAAAAAGGTAGAAAATGCCCTGATCCTGCACTTGCAAAGGCTGGTAAATATATCCAAGAGGATAAAAAAGCAGCAGAGATTGTTTGTGGCCTAATACAAGTTCAGTTTAAAATGAGAGCCATAAACTAGGGAGAATGCTGCAGCCAACGGATTTTCTGGGAGTGATGGTTTCAGTCACCTCCAAGTGCCTCCTCGGTGGATACCAGAACCAAATTAATAATCTCAGGGGTTACTGGTACCATTAGGGTTTGGTTTTGTTCTTTTAGGCAGAACTTATTACAACTTGACTAGCACATCTATCCACGGAATCCACTTCACCTCCAGCACACACATGCCTTTTTACTAACTTTCACTAAACAAATCTGACTGGGGGCTAAAACATCCACGGACACCCACAACTAAAGCTCAGCAGTGTTACATACTGGAACCAAGATCATCTCTGTCTGACACTTTACAAAGCAAAAGACACTGTGTGCACAGCAGACTCCCTCTCCGAAGAACTACCACTGCGAGTTGTGTATTTCACCCCAAACATATCAACAAACACAGCCCTCCGCAGCACAAATCTCCGATCAATTAGGCATGAAACTAGTCTCGCAGCAACAGCCAAATAAAAAAAATCAAATGGTACCTGGTATCCCTGCAACCAAAAGGTCACCTAGATACGGGGAAATCTGAAGTAAGCCCAGTTTCACCAAAAAAAAAAAAAAAAAAAACCCTCGTGGCTCAAGAGGCCACCCACTTCTTAATTCTCGGTGTATGTAAACCAAATTTCCTTGAAGTTTCACTGTCTGCCAGCCACCCCGCTGACACGAGACTACCCACGGGACTCGAGTTTCGTGGCTGGGCTGGGGTTTTCCCCGCTTTCTCCAGGGTACTGTGGCGGCGCGGGCAGCCCCGCCACCGGCGCTGCCCCGGCACGGCAGCCCACGGACCCGAGCGGAGCCGGGCGCGGGTTCCCCCCGTCCCCGCGCGTTAACATCCACACCGGCAAAGCGCACGCTGATTTCCCTATTTACCCTACGCTGCGAGGAGCATCCCCGCAGCTCCTAGGGAGCAGCCACCGCTTTGCACCCCTGTCCCCCACGCCCCCCGCCAGCCTGCTTTCCCGCAGGTGCAGTCCGGGTTGTCACGCGTGGGGGAGCCCAGCAGTGCCCGGAAGCTCGCTCGCTCCCTCCCTTCCCTCCCTCCCTCCCAGGAGCCCGCGAGGGAGGGGGGATCCACAGCCCCAACCCGCTGTCGGCCGAGCCCGCCCCGCCGGCCCCCCTGCTGCCGCCCGCCCCTCGAGCGATGCAGAAAAGCGCTTCTTCCCGTGCAAACGCCGCTCCCCACCCCTGACGGCGGGCAGGGTCCGGGCCCCGCTGCCGAACCCGCCGGCTCCCGCCACACCGCGCCAGCAGCACCTCCCGCCGCGGTGCGGGGAGCGGAGCGGTGCCCCCGGCCCCGGTACCTGTTGCGGCGGGGCGCGTCCCCGAGCCCCCGCGGCGCGGAGCGGAGCGCAGGGCGGCGCGGAGCGGCAAGGCGCCCCCGCCCCTCCCCCGCCTGCCCGCCCGCCCGAGGCGCGCCGCGCCGCCCGGTGACACGGAGCGGCACCCGGGAGGGGACGGGAAAAGGTGCCAAGTCCTTTAAAAACATGTCACATGCCCACATAAAGTTCAAGTTTACGTCCCGCCCGCCGCCCGCCGCGATTGGCGGGCGCCCCTCGGCCCCGCCCGCCCCCCGCCGCGATTGGGGGGCGCGCCTCGGAGCGCGGCGCGGCCGGGGCCAGGCGGGCGCGCCATTGGCTGCGCCGCGCCGTCAGTCACCCGCCGGGCGACATGACTGATACAAAGTTGCTGCGACACAGCCTGGGAAACGCATCTCCTTAAAGCCGCAGGGACCGCGCGGCCCCCGCGCTCCGCCCGCCCGCCCGCGGGGTCCCCGCGCAGCGCCCCGGGCCCCCCCGNGGCGGCCCCGGGAGCCCGCGCACAGGTGAGGTGCGCGGGGCGCGGCCGCCCCCGCCCGGTGCCCGCGCCGCGCCGGCGGCAGGGCCGGGCATCGCCTCCCCTCCGGCCCGGGGTTTCCGCCTGTCAGCGGCGCATGAATGCGCACCGTGCCGATGCAGCCACGGTGATTTAACCAGGGAAAATTTTTTAAATAAATATAATTAGGTGGAGGGAAAAAAGAAAGAAGAAAAATGTACGGGGGTAAAAAAATAAGGAGCGGAGGAAAAATAAATATAATTAGGTGGAGGGAAAGAAGAAAAATGTACGGGGGTAAAAAAATAAGGAGCGGAGGAGCGACGGCGGCGGGGCGCAGGAGGGTTCAAGGACTCGTCCTCCGCTCCCCGCCGGGCTGGCTCCGCTCCGCGGCAGCCGCGCATCCCGCCGGGCGCCCCGCCCGCTGCCTCCCGCCAGCCAGAGGAGCCGCCGGAACGACCCCTGGCCCCGGGGCTGTTGCCACCTCCTATTCCCCAGTGTCACCCTGGGTACCTGCGTCTCGGCTGCAGGAATACCCTTTTCCCAAGAAAAAAGCCGCCGAGCAAACTTTCAGGCGATGCGCTCCCAACTCCCTCGCTAAATACCGCCCCCAGCCCCCGGTCAGCGGCCCCTGAGAGCCCCGCTCCCGGCCCCCAGGTGCGCCCCACGGCCCGGCGGGGACAGCTCCGCGGCACCGCAGGGTGACAGCGATGCCCCCGGGAGTGGGGCGGGGGACTGAGCCCGCCGGGCAGCGGCAGCGCCGGGCACCGCGCACCTTCTCCCGCAATCGCCTGTGCGCGCCCGCAGGGACCCCGCGTGTGCTGCTGCGGGTTTGTATTCCAGAGTCACGGAGAAAGCGCCAACATCCCTAGGATTTGGGGTGTCACGTGTCCCTCTCGTTTTCCTATTCTGCCAAATATCGACCCACACTCACGGGCCGAGGCGGCGGCTCCCAGCGCCCGCGGCGCGACCCGCGGAGGAGCAGCCGCCACCACCGCCGCGCTTCCCCGCGGGCGCTGGCGAGCAATGGACGTGTCCTTCCCGCGAAGTTTTCACGGACAGGGACGGGACTAGCCGTGACCTGGATACGCCGGCCGGTGTGTCGGACACCCGCCCCGCTGCCCCCCGCGCCGCTGCTCGCCCCGCGCAAGACTCCGCGCTGCACTCACTCACCTCCCCTAGGACATGGTGGCACGGCGCGGGGAGGAGGCGCGGCCCCCGGCTACTGGCAGCGAACCATCCGGGAGCCCGCACCGCCACCCAGGATAGAGAAAAAAAAAAAAAAAGTACGCGGAGGAAGCACCGGGAGCGCGGCCGGGCGGCAGGCGGGAGCTGCGGCGGCAGGCGGCGGGGTGCCCGCAGCTCGGCTCGGCTCGGCTCGGCGGACAGCTCCCACCATGGACGCCTAGGTGGGTGGGTGTTCCCGCGGGTCACACCCTCGCCCGCCGGCGGAGGGGAACGGGGGGTGGATCCAGCACCGGTGGAAAAATCAAAAAACAAACCCGAAAAAAAAAAATCAAACTTATGTCATTCCAGGTAAAACTCCCATCTGCGCCACCAAGGAAGAGGAGGGAGGAGAGTGGCGAGGGTGTAAACTTTTTCCTCCCCCCCGCCCCCTCCGGTGCCGCCCGGCCCCTCGCAGCGCCCGGCGGCCGCGGCGCCCCCGCCGCCCCCTCCCGCGCCGCCCGCCCCGGCGGCTCCCGGCGGCTCCCGGCGCCGCGGGGTTTCTCACGCACGGAGCCCGCCGCCGCCGCGGTTCCTGGTTCGCGGAGCCGCCGGAGGAAGGGAAGGAGGGCGGGCGGCGGGGGAGGAGGAGTGTCTCCCCGTGCCCTTCCCCAGGCGGAGCGTCTCTCCCGGCCCTGGCGGCGGCGGCGGCGGCGGCGGAACACTTCTCCCCTCCCCGCTCCGACCGCCCCGCTCGGCCCCCGGGCGGGCTGCGGGGAGCGGAGCGCCCCTCGACGGGGTTGCGGGAGGAGGCTGCGCCCCCCCACCCCGCCGGGCCTGAGCCTTCCATCCCCCCGTCCTCTCCGCTGCCAGGCGGGGGGAGCCGGTCCCCGCTGCCCCCCAGCGTGCCCTTGTGTCCTGGGATACGGGCAAGGAGCGGGAGCATCCGCGCCGCACTCGCGGGGCTGCGGTGGGGCAAACCCGCTCCGATTCCACACATTTACAGAAAAATCGGTGCTAACAGCGATGCTGGTTTTAAAATAATATTTCACTTGTGGCTACGGTGTTTTAGAACAGATTATGTTTGAGTTCATGGTATTAAATGTCTCTTCATTTAAACATCCTAAGGAAAAAAATTAGGCATTGGAGGAAGGAAAGTCTTGGCCCTATTTTAGTAGCCTCGATGCAAGTCTTTAAACGTGGAAAAGGGCTGCTCGCCGGGAATTTTACCTGTGCCGAAGTCTGTAGGATCGGGGCCTTGGAAAAGGCAATATTTTATCAGCTGTTGTTTGCATCCGTCAAAGTTTGTGGGTAACTTGATAAATGTTAAACAGGGAAGCAGAAAGTGCTGGTGAGGCCAGACTTGGAGATAACAGCACATTCAATAGCTTAATTTCACAATTAGTTTACTGTATTATTGGAAGCAAATCATATTTCACTGTGCCTACACTAGTCCTCTATTTTTAGCCATAATCTAGCTAAAAAGGAGGAACCAACTGAGATGTATTATAACATCGAATGTGAACAATTCTGTTCTCTCTCTTTTTACTCATGTTGTGTCATACATCTGGTTTGGAATACAGCTCATTTATTAATTGAACAGAACTACCGTGGATGGGCTGGAGGCTGCAATTCCAAGGCAGAGGAAAGTTCCACGCAACTTTGCAAGGAGCACGGCAAGTCACAGCCATGCAGAAAGCATTCAAGCACACTGTCTGCTCTCCCAATAACTGGCATAGCCAGAAGAACTATCTTTTATTAATTTAGAACTACAGTGTGTTTGGTGCGTTTGGCTTTTTGGTTGCTTTTTTTTTTTTTTTTTTTTTTTACACTTTTCTTGAGGTTTTTTTTCAGGGCAAAGTTGTAGATGAAAAAGGCATTTGAAATGATTGGACGTAGCCTCAGTCTTTGTGTTGCATCATCTTTCACTGTATTTTTAAGAGCAAAATGGAGATAGACAATAAAACTGAGGGAAATATACCAATCTACTGCTTTAGTACCAAACATTTGATCCCTTCCCTTTCCCCTGTGATACAGACAGAGATGGCTGCTAGAAGAATAAAGCACCTTTCACGGTATGTGCAAGATGCTCACAGTTTTTCCACAAATTCAGTAAAAACCTCATTTGTTTTCTGTTTGTGGTTCACAGGAGCACTTAGCTTTTTAGTGGTTGACACTATATCTATTTTTAGCAGCATTTTAACAGCTGTCACTAACAAATACGATCCCATCTTGAATGAGAAGGGGAGTTTATCTGTTTTATTTTAAAAAATCAGACTACATAGTTGTCAGATTATAAAATGCAATTTGGATCTTTATCTGTGAAGAGAAAAGGCTATATTTTCTCATTATGCCAATTCCATGGGGGAAAGAAAAGGGGGATGTGTAGCAGGCTTGATAAAGTAACGACAGGACTTTGCAAGGTTTGGAAATAATTTTATTCAAAGGCATACAAATGTATATATAGCACATTTCAGATTTGGTTAAAAGTGGTCCTGTTTTGCTGCCTTCTGCAGCTGTGTTGCGATGGGGGAAGCCGCAAAGAGTCGAGTCATAGTTTTCCAAGTAGGTCAAGAGGAGCAGCACGGACACCTTCAATGAGCAAGTCTCTTCCCTCATATTAGATTTTCTATGAGGTTAACTCATGTCACACACATGACACTGAAAGCAGCAGACAGACAAGTGTTAGGGCACTCTTGCAGCAGATGTCATCTCTGTTCCTAAAGATAGGGGCAAATTTGCTATGGATAATGCATTACAAAACAAGATAACTGTGGAACTCGGCAAGTGTCAAATTGTACCTCCTCCAGTGCTTGGAAAAGTGAGTGAATTGGTATTAGGGGCTGCAGGAGCAGCGATGTAGTGTAAAAGCAGCCTACTGTACTGTCTTACTTAGAGGTCATGTGCCCTATTTTGAGAACTGAACCAAAGCGGATGAAGTTTTGAGTCGGTTCCAACTAAGGCAGCTGGGCATTTCCCACTTCTCTGCAGCTCCAGCCCAGGAATGCAGGCAATCACATGGTCACACATATTATTCCTTTACCCAACATTACTCACCGTAGATTTAATTTTTGTGCCATTTGGCTCATGTGGGTTTGATTACTTGAGATTTGCAGCTGGTCAAAAGTAGTTGCATTTTGGAAAGACACTGGAAAAACATTGGGGATGACAGGTGATAGTTTACTTTCCCAACAGCCGTGAGTCTTCCAAGAGAGGAGTCCGCAGTCTTCTCTGACTTGCCAGTTAATTGTGTTAAAGCTAGTTTCCAAAGCCATGCTGAAAGTCTTTAGAATTCTTTACAAGACTAAATGTAAGTAAACATGTTTTCTGTATGGTATGTTTATGTTCTCCAAGATATCAATATTTTATCTATTTAGTCTAATTTTGAACAATTTTGTTTTCTAATTATAGAGCAATACTTTAGTGAGCAACAAAACATGTTCCCTTTTAACCTGTATTCTTTTCTATCTTTTTTTTTCCTTTTTTTTTTTTTTTAATGCTCTTTAATGGGCCTGTTGTAACTGTGGCTGAACCACATCTAAGTATAGCACAAGTGCATTTCTAATGCACATTGGCATTAGCAACCACTTGCTTGTGCAAAGGGCCAAGACGTGCATTTAAAAACATCTATTTACAATACATTTCAAATCACAGTTTTTATTGACTATTAGCACCAATAGTTTCATCTGCTTCAAAATAAAAACATCCCACAGGGAGTTGCTTGCTGTGGATAATAGGTCTTGTAGACAGTGGCAGGATAAACAAAGCATAAAGAATAACACATAGGCAGTACTTTATGTTTTCTGGAGCTTTAATATTGCCGCATATGTTTACATTGTTTATAGTTAGCTTCTCTCTTGCACTATTTCTTGTAAGAATATGTGATTTGTAAAAAAAATTGTCATTGCCACAGAAATCAGCCTTATCTTGATATTAATGAAGTCCCAAGCAATAAAAGGTAGTGGCAGCTAATTGTATCTTAATATTTATCTACTACCTACTGGCATTTTTACAGTATCAAATGGTAACTCATGCCGTAATCTGATAAAAATTTTGTAGTAACCATAATAGCACTGCACCTGTGCCAAAAACCCAGACACAGTCTTTAACAGCAGTTATAAGAGCAAATAGCACCCTCCAGCACTTAATAAACATATCAAATGCAAATTGGAGGAAATTATTTAATCAGTCTATAGGCTAGTTAATTTTGATGATTATTCACAGTTCTAGTAGCAATACTTAAAGTGTGGAATAAGTTAGTACCAAAATTGTCATGACACCAAGGTCATAAGCAGAACTTGAAACTTGCTGCATAGAGGAAATTATCTTCCTGGTTGAATGAAGGTGCAGCTTTAAAGCTCCTACAGCAAATGGAGAATTCTTATGTAATTTTCCAGACTCTTCTATAATCCTGAAATTGCCTGCTCTCAGATATTATGCAATGTTAGATTGTTTGATATTAACCTGCATGACCTCAAATTCATATTGAGAATTGAAAAACCTTTGTTGTCTAAATTTTTAAAAATCTGTTTTTCCTGGAGAAGAGAGGTTTTGGCTGGACTCTCCCCGAAGCGTACAGTGAAGAAGAGACTGAGAAGAGCAATGCTGTGAAGCTAAGAGAATGAGGAAGAAACACATGAAAGACAGAAAAGGGGGGGGAAAATCTATTTATTTTGGTGGAAGGTGTACATCTTTCCTAAATGATTGTATTTTGTTGATTTTTGTATATTGAACTCTTGCTTCTTTTGTAAGATATGATCCAGCTCCAGGAGCTCATTCAGTGTGTCCCCTGGGCCCACACTGGGCAGTTGATCTTGCATGACATGGAGATTTGGTCCTTGCCAGGACCAAATGTTGATTTAACAGGTTTGGTTAAAAAAGGAACCACAAGTCAGTGTTCTGAGAATGTGTCCTGGCTTTGGAGATCAAGGTCACACCAGAATTTGCCTGCCCTAGACTAAATATCTGGTAATGAAAAGTCATACATTCCAGCATTTTCCCACTGAACTCACCAGGACTTGGCTCACAAGCCAGGAGAGACAGAAATTTTCTCACATTGGATTGGTTTGTCCCTGGTAACTCACAGGTGAGAGTAGTATTCTCATCAACCCTGCTGCCTGGCTGTGGTTCATTCTCTTCCGCTTTAAACCCACTCAGCTTGGTTTCCACAAAGGGTGCTCTCTCTATCAGTGCTTGTGCAATCCTGGCACCTGCAGCATCCAAGTACCACACAGACCCATTTCTT